GCTCGCTTGCTGCTGTCCGCGATGATCGAGGCGCTTCGCATCAGTTGTCCGCGTCGCATCAGCCGTTCACGTCGCATCAGCCGCTCACGTCGCAGCCGCGGTCTCGAGGACTTGAGGAAGGCTCCAATCCGCTCAGCTCGAGCCGAGGTTGATTTCCGCCACAGCCGCCTCGGTAAGACTCTCGTTAACGAAAATCGTTTCCGAAAATCGTTACCGATTCGTCGTCACTTTTCTGTCTTTCGTTGTTGTGTTCATTCGCGCGGATTGTGCAACCTGCCAGTTAGTAATAATGTTACTATCGCTAATCTCTTTCTGTTTCTCTCTTCTTTCCTTCGCCAACTTGCAGCTGCTTGCACGACCTGCCGCGATGGCGGCCCCGACATCACTTCCGTCGCAAACTTGTCGTATCCTCGCAACCGCCGCGTCCGTCTCAACCGTCGCGCTTCCGTCGCCAATCGTCGCGTGTGTCGCAACCGTCGCGAGCGTCCCGGCCATCGCCGTGCGGGGCGCGCGTCCGGCTTCCCATGCCACTGGCATCACGGTGGTCGAAACGACTTCGCGAAGGATTGTTCTGCCGCTTTCAGTCGTCGCTTTCAGTCGTCCCGTCTTTTACGATCGTTCCGCGGCCGATGATCCTCCCATGAATCGTCCTGGTAAGTGATGGGATTTTGCTTCTTGGGGGGCGAGTAGGCGTCCGCCGCATGGTGCGTCGCTGGTCGGTTTCGCGCTACATTGAGTCGCTCTCTCCTCGCCCAGGCTAACGAATTCGTTCCTCTTTCGTGCTTCTGTTTTCGTTCCCTTCATCTGCGTGAGTACTCCGTGTTGGCGCTCTTATGCCTGGCTGAGCCGTGGGCCCAAGGCCAGCTCCGGTGTGCGACCTTCTGTGCTATGCGACCAGCTGGTCGGCTGTGCGACCTGGTTGCTTGTGCGACCTTTACCGCGTGCGACGGGGAGGCGTTGAGGATTGGTTGGTTAGAATGCCAGCAAAGCTCGACGACAGTTGAACAAGGTTCGTTTGGCTCAACACTCGCCAAATTACTTTCGCCAAACTACTTCGTTTCCAACCAATTTCTTCGCCAACCAATTTCTGTTTCTCAAACATGCGCCAACCAGTTTCTTCGCCACCGGCTTTCTTCGCCCTCAATTCGTCGCTCAAATCAATCAGTCACCTCTCCTCATTGCTGCTTGCCGATTGAATCCCTCCCACCCTTGTCACGAGCCTCGTCATTATCACATCCAGAAAGCTTTTACACAACGTTGCTGTGTTCCCTTCGTTCAGATACGAGCGACTGGCGCCTGATAGCGAGGATCTATGTCGAAGCGTGTGTCCATCACGCCACGACCGTCCATCTTGGTCTTCTTCATCTGACCATGTCGAGACGGTCGTCCGCACGTCGTCGCACGGCGAGGCGGTCATCGCACGTCGTCGCTCGGCGAGGCGGTCGTCCGCACGTCGTCGCGGGGCGGATGGTTGCGTCGTCCGTGCTGCTTCCCTTGACGCGGGGGCTGGACCGCGCCTCTGCTGCCACCCTCCAGCCTCTGCTGCCTTCGTCCCTCCCTCCTCTGCCCGGTAACGGTAAGCGCATGCTCCCACCTGTAGGGGGGGCGAGTAGGTCACTGTCTAGGCCGCCGCTGCTGCTGCATGGTAAGTGCGTCTCCCTCCAGTCGCCTTCGTTCCTCTGCTCGAGTCGGTGTCGTCCCTCCTGCCCGTGCTAACCAGTGCTTCTGTGTGTGCGCTGCTGGGCGCCTGATCCCTGTCTCCTTGGGGGGTGGGGGGGGGGGGATCTTCCCGCCCCCCGCGTCCCCCCCCTGCCTCCCCCCCCCCCGTCTTCCCCCCCCTCCCGGCCCCTCCCCCCCTCCCCCCCCCCCCCCCTCCCATCTGCCTTGCAGTAGCGGCAGGTTGAGGAGCAGTAGTGGCGGTAGTGCATGCAGCAGCAAGGGATGGCGTTTGGAAGGGGAAGTGGTGAGGGGAGATGCGAGCAAGGCGCGGATGGGGCTCTTGCCTGCCTTTGGGGGTGGACCGTGGATGGGAGGCGGAGGTAAGGCGGAGGGCCTTCTGAGAGGGCGTCCAGCGTCTGTGGCGTGTGGCGTCGCCTCCACCAGTAGTGTGGCCCCCTCCGCCTCCTCCACCAGTGGCCCCCTCCGCCTCCTCCACCAGTGGCCCCCTCCGCCTCCACCAATGCCCCCCTCAGTGAGGGGGCGTCCAACTTCTGGCGCTGTCTTGCTTCCAGCTTCCAGCTAAGTACCCTCTCGGGGGGGGGGGGGAGGGAGGGCGGGGGATGGGAGGCGGAGGTGAGGCGGAGTGGAGGAGCTTCGGAGGAATTCAACCACAAATTCCCTTCCAGCTAAGTACCTGTCTCTCTTGCAAAAATGCCGCCACTGGTTGGGGCCCGGCTCACAAGCCACAGACGACTCCCCCCCCCCCCCCCCCCCCATTGCAGGTAAACCCATCAGGTTCAGCCTTACAGGACCCCCAGGTTCACCGCCTGAGGTTCAGCCTTCCTTGGCGTCTCTGGCTTGTGGCTCCGCCTCCCCCAGTGGCCCCCTCCCTTAGTCTTCCCCTTTCTGCATCGCTTGCTCATCGGCTCATCTGAATTCCCACCTGCCTTCCACTCTCTCCTGGATTCAACTACCTCCCCTCCCCCCCTCTCGACCTCTCCTTCTCCCCCCTTCCCATCCCCCAGCAGGGCCTCTGCAGTGGCTGCTGTGATTACATAGGGAGGGGAGAGGAGGGCGGAGGAGTGGGAGGGGAAGGAGGGGGCAGCAGGCAAATGCTGTCAGGGCGCGCGGGAGGCGGGCTTGCTGGGCGGCGTGGCGGAGACGCACCCCAAAGGGTCGACTGCATCCATGCGGACCGTCGCGGCCTTTTGGCGGTCTCGGAGGTAGGGGGGGGTGGGTTTGTCGCGGAGGGGTGGTCGGACTCATCTGCATCGGCAGACTCTGAAACGTCGATGGGCTCGATGCCCCCCGGAGATGGAGACAGGAATCTAGGAATCTGTTGTGGGGCGGGCTGAGGAATTCGCAGAGAGCGCGGGGGAGATTTACGCTGGGAGAACGAGGGCGCAACTGCTGGTGGAGCGAGGGGGGAAACGCCGAGGACGCTAAGACCATCACGATAACCAACATGGCCATCGTTAGGCTCGTCGTTCTCGGGAACGGCCATGTCTGAGTACTAGAAGCGATAGAGTAACAACTAACGAGGGGAATGATTGACCCAGCTCGGCTGGGTTGGGTGAAGTATGAAGAGAAGGTGGGGGAAGAAGAGGATGAGGACGATGGGCCAAGAATGGTCTCGTGATAGGGAACGAAACCGCACAGCGCGGCAAAGTCAACCTGCTATGGCAGACTGCCCTTGCGCCGCGGGTGTTGCTGCGCTGGTGCATGCGATGCCCAGCTGTCCTTGAGACCACGCGTGAAAGTGGCCTCGATGCATAGCGCATACTGCATCCAGCACGCCGCTGGCAGTAGTGCTGCCACAGCGCGACGAATTCACAGCCACAGCGCGACGAATTCACTGCCACGCGCGCCAATTCTGGGGGTCTTGACTACCAGTACCTTTGTCGGTGGGTGGGCATTGCTGGCGGGGTTTCACGCATGGCAGATTCGACAACAATCGAATCTGCAGACCTTGTAGGCTACTGTTTCAGGGTGTTTTCGGCAACACCCTGCCTGGTCAGGGTAGATCGTGGTTTACTTTGGCTACAGCAGGCTAAAAAAAAACTTACACTTTTAGAAAAAGTGTCACAAAAAAAATACCCTTTGAAAATCAGGGTGATCCTGAAAAAGCGGCCGCTGGCAAGGGCAATCAGGGTGAAATACCCTTCAAATTTGAGCCCTGCACCCACCGCCCATCAGCGCCCATTGTCTGTGACCGCACCGCCTGCCACCAGGGCTCTCGACATCAGACAAAATCCGTCTGTTTGTCTAATTTTCAGACTCTTTTTTAAGCGTTCCTCTGATTTTTTAGAAACCTATTTCTAGAATTTCTGATGCCCTAGAAACTGAATTATAGTCCTTCTGAATTTTCAGAATGTGTGTTCTTGTTCTTCTGATTCTACAGACTTAGCGAATACGTTCGTCTGAAACCGATTACTGTGAGGTTGCATCCAGCCCCCCCAAAATCCCCGCGTGTACAGCAAATCGCGCGATAGCACGCCCAGTGGGGCATCATTACTTACAGTTTCGGCGCCAGCACAATGTCGGTGAGACAAGCGCTGAGTCATATGTTGCTCACGGTGTGGCGCCGCAGTGGGCAATTGAGTCAGCCGTGTAGTCTCATTGGCCCATCCCCTTCCAACACACAATGACTCTCCACAGTTGCCCTCAGTGCATCCATGCATTGGCAGCATCTCTCTCCCCCATTGGCTTGTCCTGTTAGACAGGGCAGAGCCCCTCCTATTGGCTTGTCCTGCTAGGTAAGGCAGCGGGGCCTCTCCAATTGGCTTGTCCTATTAGCCATTGCAGCATACTCTCCCATTGGCTTGTCGCAACATGCATTCCTAGCTGGCCTCCCCACGAACCTTCGTCTTAGGGGGAACACTCTAATCTACACCATTGAAACGGCTTGCGGTTCGATGCATGCTGAAAGAGAGGTGGGGAACTCCCTGTCTTCTTCACCCTTCTCTTCGACAAGCTCCCCTGTCCGCCAGTATGCCCTCGTTTCACAATCGTTACCGCACCCATGTTAGACATGCCCCGTAGCGTATCTCACTCGTTTGCTGCGCCAATGAGTTTTAGATGGCTGGCAGCACCACTGATGACGGCGCCGCCGCCATAGCACAGCCTGTTCCTGCTACAGCACCCCTAATGAGGGGCCTGGATTTTCTACGCCAGCCTCCGCCTAGGCGAGAGACGCCAGAGGCCGTGCCCGCGCTAGCTGTTAGTTCCCCAGCCGTGCCTCTGCCTTTCTCTGACTCACTCCCGGACATTGATGCTGAGCCTTTGCTCGCATCCACTCCTGCTGCCTCTCCTAGCTCTCCCATTACTTCCGCGGGGATCCCTTCGCCTCCACTCTCAGTAGCCGCGATCCCAGCGCTGCCTTCAAGACTGCCCGCTGGAAGGTACACGCAAAGCACCATTCGATTTGCGCGTACCCGAGTTCCTCACATCAGGCTAGAGACTTCCCGACCTGCTGCTGATGCAACGCCATCTGCGACCCAAGAGGCGGGAACGTCTGCTTCAGCCTCTGATCCGACGCCGAGCACGGGAAGCCACTCTCGTCTCATCCCCGACCCCGATGCACTTCTTGCAGAACTGAAGGCGAAGGCCGAAGAGCAGTGGGTGCGAAAATTCCCCTGGCTGCTCATCGACCAACGCCCCGACGGACGTCCGTGCATGAAGTGTCGATTGTGCATGGCACATGCTCCTCCGAAGTGGTAGTACGGCAAATACGGCAATGGAGGTGTCGACATTCAGAAGCAGACTATGGTGAAGCACTCCCAAAGCAAGAAGCACGAGGCTGCGGAGGATCGGCAGAAACAGTTGGATGGTCTAAACGCTGCGCAGCCGAGCATTGCCGATTTCAACGACAATCAGGGAGCCGACGCGCGGCTTAGGCAGTTGATGATTGTTGTGCTTTGGATTTGCAAGTCTGATGCTTCTATTGCCATGTTTGTTTCTCTGGTCCGTCTTCTCTATGACCTCCGCACTCCCCACATCCCCGAGAAATCCCCCGGGTCTTACCAATCTGAGTAAGTTGGGCTCTGCAATCGTTTTGGTCAACTCTAATGTTAAAAACTCTCTAACCATTGATTTTTTTCCTGCTGCAGGTACGGCTTCAAGCAAATCACAGAAGCACTCGTCGTTTACCTTCGAGCACAGCAGATGAAGCACATTCAACAGTCGCCGTTCGTGGGCATCCAGCTCGACGAGAGCACCGATAGGAGGCGGGGTAAACACATGATTGTGTACCTCACCTTTTTGAAGAACGCGAAGGTGGTGACCGAGTTTTTCGGGCACCTAACAGTTGAGAGGTGTGATGCGACCTCTCTACTGACGCTGCTGCTGGACCACCTTGAAGCCACTGCCGTAGACCTGAACAAAATCAGTGGCATCAGCACTGATGGAGCCAGCGTCATGACGGGGGCGAACCGGGGCCTTGTCGCTCAGCTCCGCGCCAGGGTCCCGCATCTCGTGCCCTGTCATTGCATCGCCCACAGGTGAGATTGTTGAATCATACAGTTGTATGGTGGTACCCTGGCATCCAGAAACATCGCTAATCCTAGTTACGTGCTCTTTGCAGAGAGGCGCTCGCGGCTAAGGACGCTGCCAACGATTGTCCCGGCCTCGAGATCGTCGACAAAGTCGTCCGAAGCCTAGCCGACATCCTTGGCCGCTCCATTGTCGTGCACTCAAGATTCCAGGAGCTGCAGAGTTTCATCCACGACACGACACTCGAAATGCAGGGTATCAAAGACATTCGCTGGTTGTCTCGCGGTGATGCCATTCAGCGTCTCGTGCAAGTCTTTCCGGCTGCAGTGTTGCTGTTGTATGAGTTCGATGATGACATGTACCATGTCGTTAGCAGCTTTAAGTTCCACTTTCTTCTGTTTTTCCTGGCTGATGTTCTTAAGGAGCTCAACAACTTGAACAAGAAGTTCCAGCGCCGTGCGGTGAGTGTTTGCCCTGCGTGCGTTTTATATCTTGTTCCTAAAACTTATAAACTCTGCTGTCCCTTCAACTAATTTACCTTATGCCCTTCCCACAGGTCGACATCACCAAGGTGGCCCAGCTAGTAGAGAACACATGCAGCATCCTCCGCTCTCGCTACGTAGAGTATGGCGTCAACTTCGGCGAGGATTCCAAGCTACTCACCGAGTTTTTGGAGGAGCATGGCCCGAAGAACAAGCGGATGGTGACAGTGGAGGGCATTGACGGCGCTGGCAACCCGACGGCTCACACCTTTAAGCTGCACGAGAAAGCTCTGTCAGGCCAGAAGAGTGAGGGAGACATGGAGTCATGCATCTCCCTTGTCACCCTTTTTGTGCAGGCCATCATCCGCAACTTGGAGTCGCGGATGGAGAGCCTCAACAGTCTCCGTGGGTCGAAACTGTTCTTCCCCGACGCTTACCCCGACTCCGTTGCAAAGCGCGACCGTCTGTGCGCTGAGTGGTTCGGTTCACTGAAGGTCCTTTTCAACGCCGAGCAGTGTGCCTTGCCGGGTGAGGATTTCTTCACTCAACCTTACATTAACCATGCACATGGAAGCCCTCACCCCCCTCCCACCTTGTGATGTGTCAGGCTGTGACTTAATGACTTGTGGTTATTTCCCTCCCTTGTTCAGGAGTTGATTGGGGCAAGGCGGAAAGGGAGCTGCCTCGATTCACGCGCATGCTTCACGGTCATTACAAGGATACGTCATTCCACAACTGCTTGAAGAACATTCTCAGATCCGAAGACTGGCGCACCTCCTACCCCAACCTCGTCCGCTTGTGGGTGGCTATTGCTGTTCTGCCTCTCAGCACAGTAGAGTGCGAGCGTGGCTTCAGCCGCCAGAACATCATTAAGTCTTGGTTGCGTGTAAATTTGTGCGATGCCCGACTGACCGACTTGATGTGCATTTCGTTGTTAGAGTACCCGATGATGTGGGAAGATGTCATGGCTAATTTCCGTGCTTCAGTGCAGCGGCGGCAGGCAACAAATGTCGTGATGCCCCCGGCTGAGCCGCCTCTCAGCCAGAAGAGGAAGAAAGACAAGGCGGTCAGCAAGAAGATGAAGAAGCGTCTTAAGAACGATGATGAGGCCGTAGATGTGCGCGGCACTATAAATGTAGATTGTGATTCTGATTAGGTAAATGGCTTAATGATGTGGTGAAATATCATTGTGGCCTAATGATTAGGTAAAAATTTTAGAAATGTTAAGCCGAAACTTCTGATCTCGTAGAAACTCTACTCTAAAACCTCCGATTATTCAGAAACTGAAAGATCGGGCGTCTGATGATCAGACGGGCCCGAAGGGCCCGTCTGATCGCCTAGAAAGTGGAAAATGCCTAGCGAGAGCCCTGCCTGCCACTGCCTACCGCCCGTCACCGCCAGTCATGGTGGAGAGGTGATTGTGGCTATGAGGTTTCTTTTCCTAGTCACTGTGTGCCTGATTAGTGGGCACTCTCGTGATTGTATCCCCATGTGTGGAACTAGGATTTGTTGAAATGTTTGTGCTCTTCGTATCTGTTTCTGTGCAAAAATTGATGAGGAAGAAGGCTCTCGATTCATGTATAGTGTTTAAGAACCTTTAGCGCGGTACCTAGCGTTCCAATAGCCTCCATACAACTTCCTCTAGCGAGTATCTAAATGAAACGCGTTGAAATCGTTACTCAAATCACGCTACACCATGCTAACTTTCAGAGGCTCGGAAATGTAGGCACCACGTCCTTCTTGCACGTATTATGGGTTAGATACGTTAACCATGCATGGTTGGAAAATTCGTCGATCAAAACGAGGTCGCCTGCAATGTGTATTTCTAGAGCACAAAGCCAGCTCTGCACCACGTGTCAGTACTTTCCCGCCAACATTGACCTTGCCTCGGTCAGCTCTCTGCCGTTCAACCTGCGTCCAATTTCAGCCAGCGCGCCATCGCAGACAGAACCTCAACGTCATCGCATCGCCTTCGTCACTGGCTGGTGCCTCTCGTTTCTCTCCTATCTCTCAGGGAGGATTCTTGCGTCGTGTCATCCCGCGGATGATACCCGAATTTGCCTGTAAGCTTGGTTCGGCCGAACCTAGCTCAGGGGCAAAATCAGGTCTGATCAGCGGTATGACACGACTCGAGAAATCGCCCTCAGTCCAATCTTGGGATCTCCCTCCAAATTCATTTACCTGATGTCTCTCTCGTCTCACTCTCGCTCTAGTTGAGCTCTGCGTGCCACTTACCTAGACTCACGAATTCCGTTTGTGTGAAACAGAAGTGCCGCTGGTAGGAGACCATGGCGACATGGCTTTAGCTCGTCCTTAGTTGACCGAGCTTTCCCCAGTAGTCAAACAGGCTATGTGCTGTTGCAGTAGGCTAATCTTACCTCCTTTTTCTAGCTGCTGGCGTTGACGGGATTCTTTTGTTTTTTCCGTGTGCAGAGCAGGTCTCCTTAGATTGCGATTAGGTTCGTGGCTGGTGAAGCAGCGTAATATCTGCTACGAAACCTTCGCATCCCCGTTAGCCGTTTCTTCGCTGCTAGTAGTCATGACGACCATAGACTCGGGCCAAGAGCACGAGCACCGCCTCACACTGCTCGACCCCGTTACTGTCACATGCAGCTCGCGATTCGTTACGAGAGACCGTCGCAAGAGCAGCGCGGTCCTGGACCCTCATCAAGAGTTCCCGCCTCAGGAATTCCACATTCCGAGCCGCCTCGAGAGTATCGACGGTGCGTCGTTCCCGTTCTGCCGCGTGCGGGAAGACTGTCCGTCCAATAGTTGCTACAGTAGCAGCGCGCTTTACGGCCAGATTTCCGGAAGAACTCCCGGCTTAGCTGGGCCTGGAACTTCCGTTATAAGCACTGGTTGCTGTCACTCTGCGCATGGCTGCTCCGGTCACAGTCACTCCGGCTATAGTCACTCTGATCAAAGTCACTCGAATCATAGTCACTCCGGCAACAGTCATTCTCAGGGATCCGTTACAGACGGGTCTCGAAAACCAAGCCCGCTGGCCGACCGAACGAATCTGGCAGTGCGACCCAGACCCGCGGGTGGTCAAGGAAGCGAAGCAAATCTGGCGGCGCAACCCAGACCCGCGGACAGACTAGATTCGTCCGCTCCCATATTAGGGAGCGATGCGAAGACCGCTCAGGTGCTTCTTAATCACCAGAACCGGCAGTATCAACACCATCCACGTCAGCAGCAGCAGCATCCACGTCATCATGACCCAGGAGCGCCGACAACGAATCCTCCGCCTCTCGCTACAACTTCCCTCGCTAATGATCCTCTCACTAAAGGAACAAGCAATGTGACTCAAACGGAGCGGAAAGCCGGGAGCGGCCGTGGGTTCTTTGGCAAGTTAAAGAATCTTTTTCCTGTGCCGGGATTAGTTGGTCGGCGCAGCGAACCCGCTATTTCCCGGACCCAAAAACCAGCCGCAGAACAGAAAGGTAACGTGGCGGTTGGAAGCGTGGTGCCTGGAAGCGGTTCCGCTGGTTCCAGTTGGGTGAATGCGGAATCTGGAGGTTTGGCTGATGCGCACGATGCTCATATGGGCAGGGAGTCGTTTGGCCGACCGGCTGGACGCGGTATAGTGCGCTCCGTTTCGCTTACAGTGACGGGGACGAGCCACAACGAATACGCGGATACAACCGGCAGTTTGGAGGAGAGGGGAAAAGCGGATCGAGGTGGCGGATACATGCATGGTTGGACTCGAAGAGGGAGTGATATCAGTAGCATCAACGGCGCTACTGGCGTTACTGGCATCAGCGCCTTGGGAATGCCGAGGCTGGTGGCAGGCATGGATCTGGCCGTACCTGCTGGGTTCGGTAAATGGGGTGCGGGAGGAGGAAGACACGCGTGGGACATGGAGGGAGGAGACGGAGTGGGTTGGAAGGGTGGTGGCTGGGGCTTTGATGATAACGTTGCTGGTGGTGCTGTTGATTCTGTTGGTGGTGGCGGTGGTGGCTGCGGGTGTAGTGACTCTAGGGACTGTTGGATGGAGGGGGATATGACTGAGAGGGCGTTCCTGGAGTCCCTTATAGCGGGGGAGAGCTTAACGGGAGCAGCGGATGGCTGCACGTCGCTCGTTGTAACCATGTTGTGGGGCTCTCCGTGCCACGTAGCATCCGCCCTCTGCGTGAGTACTGTGGCGTATTTGCTCGTGGGTTAAGTCTAGCCCATGAGGGCTTAACTCGCATCCACCCGCTCTTTCTTCCCTCCCCCTCCCCCCCCCCCCCCCCCCCACCCTTCATCCCCGTCGTCTGTCCTTCCCCTTACCTTCGCCGCCTTCCCCCACTTATCCTGTTTTTCGTGTGCATTCCCTCCATCTTTCAGTGCGCCGATGTGAGCATCACTGCGGCCAAGGCAGTGGCGTGGGTGGCATCGCTCCATTGCACGGAGAGTCCGCAGCTCAAACTCACTCCTGCTCCCACCTCCCCACCCCATCCCCTCCCCCATCTCCCCCCAGCGCGCCTATGTGAGCATCACTGCAGCTAAGGCAGTTGCGTGGGTGGCGTCGCTGCATCTCAAGGAAAGCCTGTATCTCAAACTCACTCCCTCTCCCACCTCTCCACCCCATCCCCTCCCGTCTCCCCTCAGCGCGCCTATGTGTGCATCACAGCGGCCAAGGCAGTGGCGTGGGTGGCGTCACTGCATCTCAAGGAAGGCCCATGTCCCAAACCCCATCCGTCCTTCCATCCCCACCTCCGCTGCCTCCGTTCCCTGTGTTTCCTCCCCCCAGCGCGCCTATGTGTGCATCACAGCGGCCAAGGCAGTGGCGTGGGTGGCGTCGCTGCATCTCATGGAAGGCACAGTGACTCGTTATAAGGAGCAAGAGTGGGAGCAAGGCGCCCTGACTAGCTATAAGGACGGGGAAGCGGAGGCTGCTGGTAACGCAATGCAAAGAGATTATAGTGATGTGGCAGAAGGTTTTGAGTGTTCTCCAACTAGACCTAGAGCAGATTGCGATTATTGTGTAACTTGTGGAGGTGTTGAGGGAAAGAGAGGGAGCCAGAGAAAGCTGCAGCTGTGCTCGCATGCGATGTATCAAGGATCGGTGCGTCGAAGCAGTTATCATAGTGGAGAAGACCCTCTTGTCGAGCAGGGTGTGAGAAGCGGGAAGCAGGAGAGGAGGCGGGGTTATTCGAGGGAGCAGGCGGGAGATATGGAGACCCAGGAGGGGACTGGTAGGGGCTGCTATGATGCAGACACAACAGCACACGGCCCAAACATGCAGACGTCTGCAGGAAGGACAGCAGCAGTAGCAGAAACAGCAGCAGCCGCAGAAACAGTGAAAGAAGCTGCAGCTGCAGCAGCAGCAGTGCAGCTGGAGAGGTGTGCAGCGAGGGTGGAGATGGACCGACTGGTGCTGGACTGGGTGTTTGGGCCGGGAGAGAGCACAGGCAGGTGGGTATCTGGGCCGGGAGAGAGTGCCGGTAGATGGGTGGTAGAGGGGGGGGAGTGTAGGTCAACGTTCGACAACTGCGGAGAGAGGTTTCTGGAGGATACTCGTAGGTTTAGGACGCTTCAGAACGAGTTCTCGGAGGGCAATCAGAGTTTTGAGGCATCGCAAAAGGAGTGGCTGGTGGGCACTCAAAGCGCACGTGGGGAGGGAGAGAATGGGGCCGTTTTCGGTATTTTAGAGGAGGGGTCAGCGTCCACTCAAGAAGCATATGGAGAGCAACGAGAGTTCGGAGGAGCCCTACCCTGTATTTTAGAGGAGGCTTCTGACTGGACTGGGGAAGCACAAGGAGAGCAGCAGGGTCCGGTTGGGAGCATGGACCTCCCCTGCATGTCGGAAGAAGGGCCGTGGGGAATCTCCGCCTCTTGGCCTCGAGGCACGAGAGGGGTTGGGAATGTGTGCTGTAGCGTGCCGTCTCTTACTGCTATCGAGTCGTCCAGTATCGGGTCAGAAGGGGGAGAGGGCGGTTTGGCAGAGACAGATGCAGAGACAGATGCAGATTCTGTGACGCTGAACTCTTTTCTGGCAGCTTTTGAAGCGGGGTTTGCTGCTGATAGCAGTGGGAGAGCCCTGAGGGGCACTGTGAGGAGTGAGAGAGAGGAGGTGCGAGGTGAGACGGGCGGAGGAGGGGAAAGGGAAGGGGGGGTTAAGGAGAGGGGGAAGGGGAGGGAAGGAGGTGGAGAGAGAGACGTGAGAGGCGACATTGTGAGAGGAAAGGGGGAGGTTGAGGAGGCGGGGAGGGCTGGGGAGCGGAGAGGGGGAGAAGAAGGTGGAGAGTGGGAGGGGGAGGGGTCAGAGTGTGAAGTGTTTGAGGAGGCTGGTAGTGAGGCAGGAGAAGCGGAGCTTGATGTATTCCAGGATGGTAGTGGGAGTAGTGTAGATGAGAAGAGTGATCTTGATGCGCCTCAAGAGTCAGCTGTTAGTGAAGCAGTAGAAACGGAGCTTGATGTATTCAAGGATAGTGGTGGGAGTACTGCAGAGGGAACGGCTTTTGAGTCAGCTCACAAGTCATTTGTCAGTGAAGTAGAGTCTGCGGCGTTCAGGATTAACAACAGGAATCCTGCGGACGAAAAGGTTGAGTTTGACGAGCCTCAAGAGAGCTCGCTTGCTCTCGAGCCAGGCCAAGCTGATCAGGGGCGCACTTGCAGTGCTCGACAGCAGCAGGAGGTGCACTACCAGCAGCAGCAGCAGCAGCAGCATCGGTTCTCTCCTCTCTCTCTCATGCCTCAAGCATGGAGCCCCAGACTTCACCCTCCACAGCAGCAGCAGCACCAGCTGGAGCAGCAGCAGCAGCAGCAGGAGCAGCAGGAGCAGCAGCATCTGACAGGAGGAGGTGAGAAGTGGGTGTCTGGGCTGGAAAAGCGAAGGCTAAGCTGGACCAGATGGGGGATGGGAGGAGCGCGGGAGAGTGTGGGGAGTGGGCTGAGCGCAGGGGGGAGCAGCAGGGAGGGTATACTTCTGGTAGAAGGGGGGCGATACAGCAGCGGCGCTGGCAGCAGCAGGGGGTATTGCAGCAGAGAGAGCAGCAGCAGCAGCAGCAGCAGCAGCAGCAGCAGCAGCAGCAGCAGCAGCAGCAGCAGCAGCAGCAGCAGCAGTAGCAGCAGCAGCAGCAGCAGCAGCAGCAGCAGCAGCAGTAGCAATAGCAATGGTGGGAGAGGCAGGAGCAACAGTAGCAGTAGCGGCAGTCATGGAAGCAGCAGAGAAGGTTCGTTGGATGTGGATGGCCCTGTGGGTGAGGAGAGGCTATGGGGAATGCAGAGGGATGAATTCGGGCTTACTTCGTCTTTTGAGACGTCTCCAAACCGGGGAGATATACTCGGGCTTTCTTCTTCTCTTGCTATGCCTCCCAACCGAAGGCATAGGCTCGGAGTTACATCTCCTCTTTGCTGTGCTACGGAAGAGAGAGAGGATTCGGACTTAACGGTTCTGACGCTGGGGCGAGCAGTGGAGAAGACCGGAGAGGGGAGACGAGGGAAGGATGGGGAGGCCGGTGGGTTTGGAGCGGAGGAGGAGGTGAGAGGGAAGGTGGGAGGCGAAGGGGAGGAGGACGAGGGGAGGGGGGGAGGCGAGGAAAGGGGCAAGGGAGCAGCGAGGCAGCAAGTAGGCAAGAGAGTCGAGCAGCGGCAGTCAGAGGAGTGGTTGCAACTTGCTGTAGGGTCTGGGTCGTTGATGGGGTCATCCCGTTTGGAAGCTGATTTGTCGTCGGAGGCCAGAACCGTGCCACGTGGCACGACCTCAGCCTCTCCACGTGGCGCAGCATCGGCCTCATCTCATGCCACGTGTCGTCACGCCCATCCCCATGACAACCCGCTTGACAACGGTGACCTTCGGGTAGGTTCCTTCTTGCCTTGAGGCAAGAGCATGAATATTGAGTTGACAAAAAAATCACAAAAAATCTTGAGATGCCTCAAAAGTATGGGTAGGTTCCTTCTTGCCTTGAGGCTCGAGCATGAATTCCCAGGTGCGTGCTTTGGGGTTTTGTGGTGGATTTGAGTTCAAACAACATGTACCAAAGTCCATCACAACCTGCCATAACAATATGCCGATGACAACCTGCTTGACACAACAGCATGTCCTCGTTCGCCCCCCTGATGCTACAAATGGAGGTGAGCCACGCGCTGGCTGCTGCTCTGTGGCATTGTAACGAGTTGACTTTTGAGTTGACTTTTGAGTTGACTTTTGAGTTGACTCAGAAGTCACCTTCACACGCCCCCATTCTTTCCCGCTAGCGCAGCAGATGGAGGCGTGGCGTGTCCCGCGCTGGCTGCTGCTGCGCTGACCCCAGGACCCAGTGTCTCTAGCTCTCTCCTCCTTTGCGTCTTCCTTTGTTCCCGTTCCTTTTTTCCTTCTCTTCAGGACCTGGTATCGGGCCAGCAGGGGCAGATAGAGGAGCTTCGATCGCTGTTCGGTCAGCAGATGGAGGCATGCCATGCTCTGGCTGCCACTCTGTTCTTTCCCGTCTGCCTTCCCCTCTCTCTCCTCTCAGGATCTGGTGACGCGCCAGCAGGGGCAGATAGAGGAGCTTCGGTCCCTGCTAGCGCAGCAGATGGAGGCGTGTCACGCCCTGGCTGCTGCTCTGAGGCTTCAGCAGCAGGAGAGGGTGAATCTTCGGCCTCAGGAGAAATTGCAGGGACAAGATAGGGAACGTGAGAATCAGACAAACCACCGTGCTCGGGAGTTAATGCAGCAGGAGCAGCAGGAGCAGCAGGAAGAGCCAGAGCAGCATCATGTGGAGGAAGAGCAAAGACGGGAGGGCGAGGGGTTCGAGAACGAGATGACTTTTGAGTCGACTCAAAATTCGTTGGAGCAGCGTAATGTGGAGGAAGAGCGAGGACGGGAGGGCGAGGGGTCCAAGAACGGAAGGAAGGGGGTCAGCTTGCCACGGGAAGTAGAGGGGAAGAATGCGGTGGGAGGAGTCGGGGAGCGGTGGGAAGCGGTGGGGAGGTACGGCGGGGGTAGGGGAATGGATGGGGAAGAGTTGCATATTGGGTCGACTACAGAAAGGGGGTGGAGGGAGCTGCATTGGGGCGAGGGGTTGATGGGTCAATCTGGGGAGCTGAGGGGAGACATCACGAGCCTTAAAGAGCAGGTGGGGCATTAATGAGAGGAGGAGGTGAGGGGTACTGGCACAGTCTGTAGCACACGTCTGTAGCACGAGTGTGTAGCAATAGGGGTGGATGGGTGAGTCGGGGGAGCTGAGGGGAGACATCACGACTTTTAAGGGGCAGGTGGGTTAGTGAAGGAGGTGTGAGGTACTAGCACAAGGTAATAGCACAAGGTAATAGCACAAGGTAATAGCACAAGGTAATAGCACAAGGTAATAGCACACGTCTGTAGCTTAAGGTGGGGTGGCAAAGTCCACGACAGGGGACATCACGACTTATAGGAGCGAAGGGAAGGGAAGGAACATGTGGATAGCGATAGGGAGTGAGGTAGCATTCAAGTAAATTTAGGAGACGAGGGGCCGACCGTATCTCAATGCTCAAGCGCTCCCTATTCGACACCATGGCTCGGCTCAAGTCCCGCTCTCCCTCTCCTCTCTCCCCTACCTCCCTTCCACCTGTTTCTCTAAGCGCAGCTTGCTCAAAGGGCCGACCGTATCTCAACGCTCAAGCGCTCGCTCCTCGACACCATGGCGCAGCTCAAGTCCCGCTCTCCCTCCCCTGGACCCGCCTTCTCCCTCCCCTCCCTCCACTTCCCCTCTCTTCACTCCCACTCTCCCCATTCGCACTCACTGCAAGCCCAATCACTGCACTCCCGCCCAATCCTCCCCCCTTCGCTCCGGCTACATTCGCCCTCTCCCACACACTCCCCTTCGCTTCCCTCCCGCCCCACCTCCCGCTCCTCTCCATCTCCCCCCATTCATAGAACCGTCTCCCCCCACTCGTAGTTGATGCACGCCCATACACCTTCTCCCAGACACCCCCCCCCCCCCCCCCCTCTTACCCCTTCGCTTCACTCCGCCCCGCCTCTCGTTCCCCTCCCCGCCTCTCGTTCCCCTCCCCATCCTCCCCGCTGCTGTTCCCCATTCTCGATATCCCCATTCTTTCTCCACTACTAGTGCACAGTGCATACCAATCATCCCCTCAGTCCCCCCCCCCCCCCCATATCTCTATGGGGTTTCTTTAGAATCAGGTTAAATGGTGCCACCTGTTCTCTAGATTGTAGGTATGGCACTCCTGGTTGAAGCTGTATGCTTTTTTCCTGGAGGCATGCAGTGCAATGCTTGCCCAGGCCCGATGTGGGAGAATGTCACGATGAGCAGCGCATGTATGGATGTGGTAGCATGAGTGGTGCAGTCAACCAATTAGCAGACTCCAGGAAAACACTGCGCTAACCTACATAGTCTATCGCAATTTATGAGACAAAACTAGCTAAAAAGCCATACCAGATGTACATACACAACTATATTCACATGGTACAAAAGCATCGTTGCAGTTAACTCCCGGACAAACACCTGTACCGTCTTTCTTCACCAGCCCAGGCGCCCTCAGAACTATCTGCCATACCTGCACACCACACCATCCCTATCACATCGCCTTGTGGGTGCATCCCTCCACAAACACCATCCCCTGCCAAGTCGGAATGATTCCTTCTGGTTTGACTTTGACAGGCCAATTATGTTGTAGGTGATTTTTTAGAACTCCCAAAAACCACGACGCCGCAACCGCAAAGCTCTCTTCCACAGCTGCGCATCCCCCCCATCAAATCTCATGTGTCAGATGCGCTTCGCTCTTCCCTCGCCTCTTACCAGCCGCATGCTGTAACGCCTGCCAAATCACGTCTCCTTTGACAGGTGCCCCGCACCATCCCCTGCCGGGTCGGGAGAATTCATCCTGGACCTGGCCCGCTCACTCCTGCGGCACCCTTGAAGAGCCGAGAAGGAGCGCTTCCCTCCCTTCCTGACAACCCTCGCCTCTGTAACATCACCACCAGGAGACTCTGCCGCCGGGACAAGAGCACCAACGCCAGCATCGCCAGCACCACCAGCAGCACCAGCAGCACCAGTTGCACCAGCAGCACCACCAGCCGCACCAGTCGCAGCACCATTGGGGTGAGCAGCAGCAACCATGTCTTGCTGCCTGGAAGTCTCTTCCACATATTCTTCCTTCGCTACCATCAGCCCCCTGGCCCCTGCTGCTGCACCTTCCTGCACCACCTCCTCTGCTCGAGCTCCTGCTGCTGCCGGCGCTTCCCCTACCTCTGCTCCTGCTCCTGTTGCAGCCACCTCCTCTGCCGCCGCCACCGCTGCTGCTGCTGCTGCTGCCTCCCCCGCACCTGCTGCTGCTCCCATCCCCTCTGTTGATGCTGCTGCTGCTGCCGCTTCCTTCTCTGCTGCTGCTGTTGCTGCTACTGCTGCTGCTGTTGCTGCCGCTGCCGCAGCAGCAGCTGCTGCTGCTTCCTCTTCCGCCGCAGCTGCTGCTGCTACTGATGCCGCCTCTTCTGCTGCCGCTGCTGGTGCTGCAGCCGCCACCATTGTTGCTGGAACCACCTCCTCTTCCAAGGCTGCTGCACCCACCTCTTCTGCTCCTGCTGCCGCTGCTGCTCCTGCTGCCGCTGCTGCTGCTGCTGCCGCTGCTGCTGCTGCTGCCGCCGCTGCTCCTGCTGCCGCAACTGCTGCTGCTGCCTCCTCCTCTGCGGCTGCATTCACCACCTCCCCAACACCTTCGCCAGCTGAATTCTCGGGCTCTCCCACTGCCGCTGAAACCTCCACGAGCACTCCACTCTCCCCCCCTCGCACGTACAGCCCCACCAAGAAAACCCCCCACCACGCCTCAAACGCCGCGCTCGTTTCCGCCAGGGTTTTGGTCAGGCACGGGCTGCCCGTGAATCTGCCCCAGTTTAAGGGCAGCTCGACGGTAGTTGTAAAGGAAGGATTGTGCGACGGGCCCTGCCTGACAGTAAAATAACGCGGCAGATCTCCCAGCATCCGGCTACAGTCGATCTGTAACAGAATCTTCGCATTCGCCTTCGCGATTTCTTTCGCCAGATCCGCCACGCGGGCGGCATCAGCAGGGGGATCCGCGCCAGGACAGGAAACGTTTCCTAAAATAGCATTCCGAAACGCTGCCCGGTAGGCTAGTAACTCAGCGTCTTTCTTCCTCAACCCTAGCAGATCCGCCGGGCCGTTGCCCGAATCCTCCCGAGAAATCCTCTGCCAGTACTCGGGCAGCCCACGGAAAGTTTTCGAGCCGAAGCTGACCTGAAAATCCCACGTCTGCAGGTGAGGGGGTCCTGTCGGGCCGATGGTGGCGCCCTGAGGGGCCGCCGCCAGGTTGAGCGCCGATGCAAGCTCGTTGAGCAGCTTAGGGTACATAGTGATTGCAGCGCGATCCGGTGAACAAATCCCCCTTCTTGAACAATCCGGACTGCGGGCTAAAGAGATTATGAGAAGAAATAGATCTTGAGAGAAAAGAGATCTTGAGAGCGGACTGACTATTGGCTAGATCTCTGGCAGAGCTGAGCGTTCCGCCAATAAGAACACGGCGCGTGGACTACTGCAACGTAATCTCGAATCGGGGCCGATGTCGGACTGACGGATGGATTTCTAGCCTGAGGTTGACTTCGCGCGCCGGGAAATGGATGGATGAAGTCTATTTTTGAGGCGCCTAAAAAAATCCATGCGGGAGGAGTCTATTTTTGAGGCGCCTCAAAAATTGACTTCGCGCGGCGGGAAATGGATGGATGAACTGAGTGACGACGAGCGAGCGATATGCGAGGAGGAAGAATGATCCGGAGTTGAGAAGATAAGATTGAAACGCATCTCCTGAGAGCAGTTCCCGGAACAAGTTCTCGCAACAAGCTCCCACAAAGGCCCGCTCGACAGCCGGTGAGGGAGAGAGATTGCGGCATGGGTGAGGTGTCTCGTCGATGTCGCTTTGGATTGAGCGAGGGGAATGGCATCTGATCCGTTAGTCCACACGTCAAAGCGCGCCGATCTACGGTAACGGAGACGCGGCACAGCGACATGGTCGGGTGAAACTAAGAATGCGAACCGTCAAACTCGTTCCGCAATGCTGTTATCTGCCTGACTTGTGCCTCCTCTCCTTCTCTCGAGCACTAGCGCCAGCTAGAAGCGGTTTGGCAAACGAACGGACGGAGACGATTGTCGGAGATCGCACGAATGGATGGACGCGATTGCTGCATGGCATTGACAGGTCGGCATGTTGCGTGGCCTGCTCCCAAAAAAAGGGGCGAATTCACGAAATCGCATCCACAGCTATCCGCGGTATCGCAAGTTTCGCAACTGTGACAAGACTTCGCTCCACTGGGGGTGATTGATGGGGTTTGATGCGAGAAGCCGTGGGGGGGCTGGTTGGTGGACTAAGCGATTTCCGCGGTACAGTCCGCTCCATTTCCTAACACAGAAGCTGAACCAAAGAGCTCCAAATACTAGCATTTCAAATATATCATTTATTCCAAGGGAAGCATTTACCATAGAAGGCTATAGTATTGTTTATACCAATTTGTACTGTACAGTAGGGGTGTTGCAGGAGAAAAAACTATTTGCTACATAAGTCCTGCATAAAGTCATCATGTATCTGCAAAATCTGTGAAATGTGCGGCTGCCGGCACAAGAGACCTCTACAGTAACCTGGTACAAGCTCAGGACAACTCGAAGCCGGTCCCAGAGGAAATGGCATACTTGAGTTTATCGCGCAGCGTGCTGGCTCGTTGGTAGGTGGGAAGCTGTGGGGGAAGAGGGTGGGGGCGTGAAAGACATGAGTTTAGGAAAGTAGGGAAAGAGGTGGCATACCTTGAGTTTATCCCGCATCGTGCTGGCTCGTTGGTAGGTGGGCAGCTGTGGGGGAAGAGGGAGGGGGCGTGAAAGACATGAGTTGTGGGAATAAGGGGCGTGATTTACGGTTGTGGGAAGAAGGGGCAGCTGTTGGTTTTGAGACGTCTCAAAACCAACCTTATATCATGTGGAAGAGGGAGGGGGCGTGAAAGACATGAGTTGTGTGACGAAGGGGGGAAGATGGTGTACTTCAATAAACCCTGGGCTGGCTTGCTGGTAAGTGGGCAGCTGTGGGGAAAGAGGGCGAGGGACGTGAAAGACATGAGCTTAGGAAAGAACCCTCACCGGTAGTCTATTTTTGAGGCGCCTCAAATGTTGCAACACTCTGACTGACATGATGAGCTCCAAGGGACTTCGGGAACAGAGGTGATTTTTGGCAGACAGAATATACCTTGAACAGGTTGTAGCACGAAACTGTTGTATCACGGAGCGATCATTACCTTGAGAAGGTTGTAGCATGTGGAAGCAGTGGGCAGCCAGTCTATATCCGGCCCACCTAGTGTAGCCCACATGGATGCATCCACGTTAACCTGATAGTGAGGGGGGTTATATGGGGTACAAATCAAATGGAGGATGAGTACTGAGCATGGAATTGGGCAGCCAGTCTATATCCGGCCCTCCTAGTGTAGCCCACATGGGTGCATCCACGTTAACCTGATAGTGAGGGGGGTTATATGGGGTACAAATCACATGGAGGATGAGTACTGAGCATGGAAGTGGGCAGCCAGTCTATATCCGGCCCTCCTAGTGTAGCCCACATGGGTGCATCCACGTTAACCTGATAGTGAGGGGGGTTATATGGGGTACAAATCACATGGAGGATGAGTACTGAGCATGGAAGTGGGCAGCCAGTCTATATCCGGCCCTCCTAGTGTAGCCCACATGGGTGCATCCACGTTAACCTGATAGTGAGGCATGTTAGACGGGGCACAAAGCACACGCAGCTTAGGGCGTGTGACCTCCGTGTCCGAACATTGGAAAAGTTTGAACACTGTAGCATGTTACAAGTTTCGCGAACGTCGGCAGTGCTTTTGCGATTTTCGCCAAAAAAACTCGCGAAGTCACCATGAACGATTTTTGAGTCGACTCAAAAATCACCTCGCGAAGTCACCATGAATGGCATAAAAAAGGGTGCCAACACCCCTGTTCGAATGGCAGGCCCTGCCCGTGAGCACGGAACACACTCGCGCCAATCTGGCGTCCTGCGAAAATGTGCGAGGGCAAACTGGCGCGACAGGTGACCAGATTCTGCCCGAGCGGACAGCCTGCCCACACCAAGCCTACTTCCCGCAGCGATAGAGCCCACGAGCCCAATTTCTACAGCGCGGGCATGAAAGGTCTGGGAGGGGTTTTGGAGGCACGGGGCAGGTATGGTTGGGTTTCGTGATTGGCGACGTATTTGCGGGGTTTGTCACTCTTCGTAACGATTCGAATTTCAGAGATTCAAAGTGGTTTGGGCCTCGGGATCTAGTTTTGAGGCGCCTCAAAACTATCACGCAAAACTAGACTCCTATCACGCAATTTCAGAGATTCAAAATGGGGCCTCGGGATCCATGGTTTTGGCGCTTGCCACAGCTGAAACTCACACGAATGTGCGAACAACAGATTTCGTTGTTCGCACACCTTCGGGATTCGAAATCGTGCGAATTTCGGCCCCCCACTGCCGAGGTCACACGTCCTTAAAGTCACGAGACAATATCCATGTTTCAGTCCGCATAGCATCTCAATACAATCACATTTCACGGATGTGTTAACGGGGGGTTAAGGTGTCTGAATTCCAGCAGAGGTGTGGGGGGGGAGGGGGGGCGAGCGGTTGTAGACGAATTTTTGCAATGTTATCCACGTGTCAGCAGTCGCATCTGAGCATGATCACCTTGTGAATGGTGAGGGGCGGGTTGAGGTGCCTGAGTCCCAGCATAGGGGGACACGAGCATCCAGCAGCAGGTGACGAACTCTAGGGGCTGGCTCTTCTCACGCCACGATGCATGTCAAGAGTATGCTGTAGCCTGTAGTATGCTGATCATGTCAGTACCTTGAGTAGGCTGTAGCGCACCTTATGGATGGTCAATGGCGGGTTGAGGTGCCTGAACCCCAACAGGGGAGGTTGCGAGCAGCTGGTGGCGGATTTTCTCGATCAGATACAGCCCACCATTCACATCAGTCACATCAAGTCTCAGCATAATCACCTTGTGTATGGTCAATGGCGGGTGGAGGTGCTTGAACCCCAGCAGGGGAGGTCGCGAGCAGCTGGTGACGAATTTGAGTAGCTGGCTCTTCTCCTCCCTTGACAGGCCAGCCACCACCTGATGGTGGGTAGTGGCAGGGAAGATGGGCAGCAAGCAGCGGAAAGAGAAAGGGAAAGAGGGGAAGAAACCAGACCTGCTGTGAACCTCACAAGCAGCTGGTGACGAATTTGAGTAGCTGGCTCTTCTCCTCCCTTGACAGGCCGGCCACCACCTGACGGTGGGTCAGAAGGCAAAAGAAGTGGGGCGGGAGGGGACAGACACGGGGACGGTACATCCACGACGGGGACGGGGAAGGTACATCTGATGAATACGTAGGTGAATTTTGAGTCGACTCAAAAATCACGGTCGGAAGGCAAAAGGAGTGGGGCAGGAGGAGGGGAAAGAGACGGGGAAGGACACAGGGACGGTACATCTGATGAGTACTGTCACGTGGTGAGGAGCTAGGGCCTAGTGGCGAACTTGAGAGCAGCTGGCTCTTCTTCTCAAGTGACAAGCCGGCCTGCCACCAACTGATGGCCGGCTTGTCACTCGTCAGGTGGTAGCAGAGTGATGGGCAGAAGAGGGAGGGGAAGGCAGATGCACATAGTGGTGGTGGTGGTGTGCAGTGAACCTCGCACTTTTGAGGCGCCTCAAAAGTGGTGGTGGTGTGCAGTGAACCTCGCAAGCAGCTGCCCGATTCGAGGAACTGCCACTTCTCCTCCCAACCGACACTGCCCCTAAAATTTCTCTTCCTGGCCTCACAGTATTCAAAACACGCACCTGCGAGAACATCTGGATGCTTCGGTGGCTGGCTGAATACCCACCCAGAGTACCGCATGTGTGCTTTCCGGTCCCCCACATACCGCTCTCGATTCCCCTCGCTGCATTGGCCGTCATGCACACCTCCCAGCTTGTTTTTGAGAATTCTCAAAAACACCCTGCAAAATCATTGGCTGCTGTCATGCACACCTCCCAGAGTCCACCATACAAGCACGAACCTGCCAGAACATTTGAATGGTTCGGTCGCTGTCCGAATACCCCCCAGAGTACTGCGTGTGGGCCCTTAGGTCCTCCACATCCACGTCCTGCTCCCCGCCTGACAGCAGCTGCACACAGGAGACACATAGCACATAGGGCAACATGTCGGGACAGGATTAATGGCCCAGAGTGGCGCGCCCTTAGTTCCTCCACATCCACATCCTGCTCCCCGCCTGACAGCAGCTGCACACACAGAAAGACATAGCGCATAGGGTAGCGCATAGAAATGGGGTAGAATGTCCGGAGTACCGCGTGTGCGCCCTTAGGTCCTCCACATCCACATCGTGCTCCCCGCCTGAGAGCAGCTGTACGCATTCACACACAACGGGAAAGAAAGCACAGGGTAAGATGCACAGGGTGAGATGCACAGGGTGAGATGCACAGGGTGAGATGCACAGGGTGAGATGCACAGGGTGAGATGCACAGGGTAAGATGCACAAGGTAAGATGCACAGGGTAAGATGCACAGGGTGAGGCGAGCAGAGACGCGTGCCATTAGGTCCTCCACATCCACATCGTGCTCCCCGCCTGACAGCAGCTGCACATAGAGGACGACACAGGGCTACACTGGCAGACACGAGACAGGCAAGCATACACGATAACACGTAACGGACTCGAGGCACATGCGCCCTGAGGCCCTCCACATCCACATCGTGCTCCCCGCCTGACAGCAGCTGCACATAGAGGACGACACAGGGCTACACTGTCAGACACGAGACAGGCAAGCATACACGATAAAACATCACGGACTCGAGGCACATGCGCCCTTAGGCCCTCCACAGGGTTGCCTTAGACCCTCCACATCCCTTCCACAAAGAAACTGTTGGAGAAAAAAGGGCGAGACGCATGAATGTCAGGTGAGCTAAGATAAGTGGCCAGAGTGGGCCTCCACATCCCTTCCTCACAGAAACTCTTGGAAACCAAGGGGTGAGTGAGACGCATGGCGATTAGGTGAGACATGAGTGCAGGTGGGAGCAGCTACATGGGATGGATGCATAGGAACATCTGCTTACGTACCTTCAGGAAGTACCACATTTAATTCTTGCCTAGGACATATCAAAAGCACAGGACGTGGACAGGAGCGGAGATCAATCAGCCCTGTTGTTTTCTCCTGGTTCTCACCTGCTCTGTTGCCACCTCCTGAATTCTCACCTGGTTAAACTCCTTGGGGCTGAATAGCCGCAGCCACTCGGGCCGAATCAGGTCCGAGAGGCCCCTGAGGAACGCCGCCACCACTGCTGCCATCTGGAACGGGCGGGACAGACAGGACAGAGCGTTGATTAAACTAACGGGATAAGAGAGCCAAGTACTTGAACAGCCGCAGCCATTCAGGTTGCATAAGGTCCGAGAGGCCCCTGAGGAACACCGCCACCACTGCTGCCATCTGGAACGGGCGGGATAGAGGAGACAGAGTGTTGATTAAACTAACGGGATAAGAGAGCCAAGTACTTGAACAGCCGCAGCCATTCAGGTTGGATAAGGTCCGAGAGGCCCCCGAGGAACGCCGCCACCACTGCTGCCATCTGGAACGGGCGGGAAAGAGAGGACAGAGCGTTGACTAAACTAACGGGATAAGAGAGCCAAGTACTTGAACAGCCACAACCATTCAGGTTGCATAAGGTCCGAGAGGCCCCTGAGGAACGCCGCCACCATTGCTGCCATCTGATGGGGTGGGTGGGTGTTGAGGGGAGGGGTACGGAGGTGGGGAGAGCGGGGAGAAGAACGGATAGGGTCAAGAGTAAGAGGGGAGGGAGCACAGGGCAGGCTGAACTGCCGCAGCCATTCTGTCTGAATCAAGTCCGAGAGGCCCCTGAGGGACGCCGTCGCCACCGCTGCCATCTGATAGGGTGGGTGGGGAGGGAGAGGGCAAGAGCAGTCAGGTAAATCGGTGGTCAGGGTGGTCTTGCCCCCCACCCTCCACCCCTCTTGCCCTCCCCCTCCCCGCCGCCACCACCGCTGCCATCTGATAGGGTGGGTGGGGAGGGAGAGGGCAAGAGCGGTCAGGTAAATCAGTGGTCAGGGTGGTCTTGCCCCCCACCCTCCACCCCTCTTGCCCTCCCCCTCCCCGCCGCCACCACCGCTGCCATCTGATAGGGTGGGTGGGGAGGGAGAGGGCAAGAGCGGTCAGGTAAATCAGTGGTCAGGGTGATCTTGCCCCCCACCCTCCACCCCTCTTGCCCTCCCCCTCCCCGCCGCCACCACCGCTGCCATCTGATAGGGTGGGCGGGGAGGGGGAGGGCAAGAGGGGTGGAGGGTGGGGGGGGGAGGAGAGGAGAAAGGGTAGGATCAGCAGAGAGAGGGGAGGGAGTGCAGGGCATGCTGAACTGCTGCAGCCATTCAGGCTGGATCAAGCATGAAAGGTCCCTTGAAAGAGCCACTCTAACTCACCTGAAATTTCACCTGTATGCTGCATTCAAAAGTAGCAAGAAACAATGGGTCTGTGGTTGTCTGTTGAGCTTGTAATCAGCCACAGCATGAATATACTGCAGCAGGTTCTCATGGGTCACTGTGGATACCACCTGACCACCGTTGAAATCACCTGAACTTTCACCTGGTGGTTAAGCACCAACTAAGCCTGTAGATAGTCACAGCATGAATGCACCGTCCCTTGTTCTCGTTGGTTACTGTTGAAACCACCTGACCACTGTCGATTTACCTGAGCTCTCACCTGACGGTTGAGCCTGTAGTCCACCACAGCATGAATGGACTGCAGCTTGTTCTCACCAATCACAGTTGAATGAAACCACCTGACCACTGTTGATTTCACCTGAAATCTTACCTGACGGTTGAGCTTGTAGTCAGCCATAGCATAAACGCATTGCAGCCTGTTCCCATTGGTCACTGATGAAACCACCTGACCACTGTTGATTCCACCTGAACTCTCACCTGACGGTTGAGCTTGTAATCCGCCACAGCATGGATGTACTGCAGCTTGTTCTCGTTGGTCACTGCGATGTGGCTGCCGCCCGGCCGCAGCTCCACTATGCTGTGCTCGCCAAGTACCTCCTCTGTGACTGTGAAGTCCAATGCGAGCTCTGATGCGTCCCCTTCATAGTGCTGCAAGGGGGGGGGGAGGGGGGGACAATAATGCAGAAACGTAGGAGAGGGAGGGGTTGGAGGTTGGAGGCACCAGCTCCACTATGCTGTGCTCGCCTAGTACCTCCTCTATTACTGTGAAGTCCAATGCTAGCTGTGATGCGTCCCCTTCATAGTGCTGAATGGTTGGGGAAAAGAGGAGCCAGAGAGGCAGGGGTTGGATGGAGCCCGAAGCTCCACCATGCTCTGCTCGCCAAGTACCTCCTCTCTGTTACTGTGACGTCCAGAGATATCTCTGAGGCGTCGCCTTCATAATGCTGGATGGGGAAGGGGATCAAGGGGAGGACAACAAGCAGGAGAAACAGAGAACTTAAGGTTGGAGGCCGCATCTCCACTATGCTGTGCTCGCCCAGCTCCTCCTCCGTCACTGTGTCGTCCAGAGCCAGTTCCGACGCATTGCCGTCATAATGCTCCGAGGCGGTCGGGGAGGGGCAATGAGACAAAAAGGAGGAGAGGCAAGGGTTGGAGACCTCAGCTCCACTCCGCTGTGCTCGCCTAGTACTTAGTCTGTTACTGTGACCGTTGAGTCGACTCAAAAGTCACTGCGCTGTGCTCGCCTAGTACTTAATCTGTTACTGTGACCGTCCAGAGCCAGGTGGGAAGGATAGGGATTTGAGGATGGAAGCAACCCTTCTCCAGTGGCTGTGCAGTCGAGAGCTCGCTCTCTCGGAGGTATCCCCTCGCAGTGCTGGATGGTTGCGAACGAAAGGACATCAAGCATGAGGGAGAGGCAAAGGTTGGAGGCTGGAGATGCACTATGCTGAGCTCGACAACCCTTCTCCAGTGACTGTGAAGTCGAGAGCTCGCTCTCTCAGAGGTATCCCCTTGCAGTTCTTTCACGGCCGAGCTACTAACCCCACGGCCGAGCTACTAACCCCACGGCCGAGCTACTAACCCCACGGCCGAGCTACTTACCCCACGGCCGAGCTACTTACCCCACGGCCGAGCTACTAACCCCACGGCCGAGCTACTTACCCCACGGCCGAGCTACTTACCCCACGGCCGAGCTACTAACCCCACGGCCGAGCTACTAACCCCACGGCCGAGCTACTTACCCCACGGCCGAGCTACTTACCCCACGGCCGAGCTACTTACCCCATGGCCGAGCTACTAACCCCATGGCCGAGCTACTAACCCCATGGCCGAGCTACTTACCCCATGGCCGAGCTACTAACCCCACGGCCGAGCTACTTACCCCACGGCCGAGCTACTTACCCCACGGCCGAGCTACTAACCCCACGGCCGAGCTACTAACCCCACGGCCGAGCTACTTACCCCACGGCCGAGCTACTTACCCCACGGCCGAGCTACTTACCCCATGGCCGAGCTACTAACCCCATGGCCGAGCTACTAACCCCATGGCCGAGCTACTTACCCCATGGCCGAGCTACTAACCCCACGGCCGAGCTACTAACCCCACGGCCGAGCTACTAACCCCACGGCCGAGCTACTAACCCCACGGCCGAGCTACTAACCCCACGGCCGAGCTACTAACCCCACGGCCGAGCTACTAACCCCACGGCCGAGCTACTTACCCCATGGCCGAGCTACTAACCCCATGGCCGAGCTACTAACCCCATGGCCGAGCTACTTACCCCATGGCCGAGCTACTAACCCCACGGCCGAGCTACTAACCCCACGGCCGAGCTACTAACCCCACGGCCGAGCTACTAACCCCACGGCCGAGCTACTAACCCCACGGCCGAGCTACTAACCCCACGGCCGAGCTACTTACCCCATGGCCGAGCTACTAACCCCATGGCCGAGCTACTAACCCCATGGCCGAGCTACTTACCCCATGGCCGAGCTACTAACCCCACGGCCGAGCTACTAACCCCACGGCCGAGCTACTAACCCCACGGCCGAGCTACTAACCCCACGGCCGAGCTACTAACCCCACGGCCGAGCTACTAACCCCACGGCCGAGCTACTAACCCCACGGCCGAGCTACTTACCCCATGGCCGAGCTACTAACCCCATGGCCGAGCTACTAACCCCATGGCCGAGCTACTTACCCCATGGCCGAGCTACTAACCCCACGGCCGAGCTACTAACCCCACGGCCGAGCTGCTAACCCCACGGCCGAGCTACTAACCCCACGGCCGAGCTACTAACCCCACGGCCGAGCTACTAACCCCACGGCCGAGCTACTTACCCCATGGCCGAGCTACTAACCCCATGGCCGAGCTACTAACCCCATGGCCGAGCTACTTACCCCATGGCCGAGCTACTAACCCCACGGCCGAGCTACTAACCCCACGGCCGAGCTACTAACCCCACGGCCGAGCTACTAACCCCACGGCCGAGCTACTAACCCCACGGCCGAGCTACTAACCCCACGGCCGAGCTACTTACCCCATGGCCGAGCTACTTACCCCATGGCCGAGCTGCTAACCGCAAGGCCGAGCTACTTACCCCATGGCCGAGCTGCTAACCGCAAGGCCGAGCTACTAACCCCATGGCCGAGCTGCTAACCGCAAGGCCGAGCTACTAACCCCATGGCCGAGCTACTAACCCCATGGCCGAGCTACTAACCCCATGGCCGAGCTACTTACCCCATGGCCAAGCTACTAAACCTATGGCCGAGCTACTAACCCCATGGCCGACCTACTTACCCCATGGCCGACCTACTAACCCCATGGCCGAGCTACTTACCCCATGGCCGACCTACTAACCCCATGGCCGAGCTACTAACCCCATGGCCGAGATACTAACTGCATGGTCGAGCTGCTGACCCCGTGGCCGAGCTACTTACCCCATGGCCAAGCTACTAAACCCATGGCCGAGCTACTAACCCCATGGCCGAGCTACTTACCCCACGGCCGACCTACTAACCCCATGGCCGAGCTACTAACCCCATGGCCGAGCTACTAACTGCATGGCCGAGCTGCTGGCCCCACGACAGAGTACAAGGCCTTGGGCACGATGGCAGACAAGTCACCAAGATATACAGGCAGACCCACCTTGAGGTACATGAGGTTGCGATTGAGCTCCACGTCCAAGCTCGATAGCTCGTCCAGAATCGCGCATCTCCCAACAAGCTTCGACACAACCTCTCTTCGAGGGGTGCGAAGTTGTACTCGAGAAGAATCCCCTCGTAGAGCACCTTGCCCCACTATGCGCCCCAGCACAACTGAGTATATTCTCAAAACGAAAAGTCGCCCCAACGTCCTTGCTGATGCTCCCCTAAAACCGACCCACCTTGAGGTACAGGTTGCGGTGAGCTCCACATCTTGGAAATGCAGCTCGTCCAGGAAATGCGCACTGCTACTCCACCAGCTCGGGGATAGAGGCTCATTGGCGAGCATCAGGCGTGAGGAGTCTATTTTTGAGGCGTCTCAAAAATAGATTCCTCGCGTATTTTTGAGGCACCTCAAAAATAGAACTCCTCAACGTATTTTTGAGGCGCCTAAAAAATAGACTCCACCAGCTCGGGGATAGAGGCTCATTGGCGAGCATCAGGTAGAGACCTAAGCACCGGACCCACCTTGAGGTACGTGAGGTGTCTATTTTTGAGGCGCCTCAAAAATAGGTTGCGGTACAGCTTCACATCCAAGCTGGACAGCTCGTCCAGGAGCTTCGACACTAACAGTGGTGCAAAGTTGTGCTCGAGGAGAATGCCCTTGTAAAGGGGGTGCCCACTGCCCACTATGCTCACACGCTAAAGTTGCACCCACCTTGAGGTACATGAGGTTGCGGTAGAGCTCCACATCCAGCGAGGAGAGCTCGTCCAGGAACGCGTATCTCCCAACGAGCTTCGACACAAAGAGGGGCGCGAAGTTGTACTCCAGGAGAATGCCCTCATAGAGCGCCTTGCCCACTATGCGCCCCAAGAACTCCACCATCGGAATGCCGTGGCCCAGCGCTGCTGCTGCCGGATGGGGATACAGATAGCCTTCTTCAGTTGCTGCTTGGAGGAAAAGACCATACCTGGGGAGAGGGAGGGCGGGCAGGGATGGGGGCGGACAGGAAAGCGGGGGGAAAAAGGCCCCAAAAAGTGTTTCTGGGGAGGGAGGGAGTAAGCAGGAGGGAAGGGTCCCTTCGTGCAGCAAGAGCGCCTTGCCCACTATATGCCCCAGGAACTCCACCATCGGAATGCCGTGGCCCAGCGCCGCTGCTGCTGCCAGGTGGGGATAGAGGTAGCCTTCCTCCGTTGCTGCCTGGAGAAACAGCAAGTAGCTGTTAAGGGAAAGGGGAGGGGGGAGAGGAGGGAGGATCTCCACCATCGGAATGCCGTGGCCCAGCGCCGCTGCTGCCGGGTGGGGATACAGGTACCCCTCTTCTGTTGCTGCCTGGAGAAACAGCCCGTAGCTGGGGAAAGGAGGGGTGAATAGGGGCGGAAGGGAAGCACCATCGGAATGCCGTGGCCCAGCGCCGCTGCTGCCGGATGGGGATACAGATACCCTCCTCGGTTTCTGCTTGGAGAGGAAGAGACTGTAGCTGGGGAAAGGAGGGGTGGAAGGGGGAGATGGGAGAGGGGAGGACGGGGGTGGAGTGGAGGGGAACGGTGTGGAAAAGGAGAGGAGAGGGAAAGCCTGCTTTAGCCGAACCTGATCCATGCCTATCTAGGTATCACCGGCATTCCCTCACAGGACCTTACCTGGTAAAACCTAATCCAAGTGCCGCCTACCCGAAGTGCACCTACCCCGAGTGATGGCACCTACGCCAAGTGGTACCTACCCCAAGCGGCACCTACCCCTGGTCGAAGACTGGCTTAGCGAGGTCAGTGAGGAACTCCTTAAAGAGCCCGCCCTGGTCCATGCCTATCCAGGCACAACAGGTACCAACGTCCCTCCTTACCACCTACCCAAACCACCATCACTCGACAATACAGCATCTGAAGTCTAGTTTTGAGGCGCCTCAAAACCTACCCAACCCACCATCACTCGATAATACCGCATCTGAAGATCCCCATTCCACTACCTACCCCGGGTCGAAGGCTGCCTTAGCGAGGTCAGTGAGGAACTCCTTGAACAGTCCGCCCTGATCCATGCCTATCTCCTCCGCTCCAAACGCGTTCACGAATGACACCCGCACACGGCCCTGCGAGGTGGTGATGGTAAATGGTGGAAGCATAAGAAACAGCAAACAATGGTAAGCTGAAAAACAATCCGCCCTGATCCATGCCTATCTCCTCCGCTCCAAACGCGCTCACGAATGACACCCGCACACGGCCCTGAGATGTGGCTAGTGGGAGAAGGGACGGTGCAAGCAAGGAGAACCGCTCATACAGTCCGCCCTGGTCCATGCCTCTCTCCTCGCCTCCAAAGGCGCCCCCGAATGTACTCGCACACGGCCCTGCGAGGTGATGGCGGTAAATGGTGGAAGTGGAATACACGACGAACAATGGTACGATGAAAAACAGTCCGCCCTGGTCCATGCCTCTCTCCTCGCCTCCAAAGGCGCCCCCGAATGTACTCGCACACGGCCCTGCGAGGTGATGGCGGTAAATGGTGGAAGTGGAATACGCGACGAACAATGGTACGATGAAAAACAGTCCGCCCTGGTCCATGCCTCTCTCCTCGGATACAAACGCATCCAGGAATGACGACACCCGCACCCGGCCCTGTGAGTGAATGGTGGTAAATGGTGAAAGCAGAATATTCAACGAACAATGATCCCAGAACCCACTCTCTCCCCCCCGACCTTTCTCCCCACAAGCTGCTCTCAGCTCTCCGACTCTTGCTGTGGTGGCAGCAGCTGGGGACCTTGAGGCACTGGGGCGTGCCACACAGCGGGCCAAGAGTCTAGGAGATGTGGTGGCGTTGAGGGTGGCTGGTAGTGGCGCAGTGCCGGCGCCTTTTGCCCTGGGCACGGAACTCGAGGCCGTTGAACACGCCGCCAAGGTTCCGTGCCCAGGGCGAAGGGCGCGGGCACCGCGCCACTATCAGCCACCCTCGCCGCCACCACGACTCCTAGACTCTTGGCCCGCAGAGCACCATATCCCAGCGCCTCAAGGTTCCTTACTGCTGCCACCACAACAAGAGCTGAAGAGCTGAGCGCAGCGTGATATCCTGGTGCCATTGTTTGGGTGGGTGCTGGTGGCATGTGCGGGCGTTCACAAATGACACCCGCACACGGCCCTGTGAGGTCGGGAGGGAGAATGAGCAACAATGGTAAGATGAGAAACAGTCCACCTTGGTCCATCATCCATGCCCATCTCCTCGGCTCCAAACGCATCCAACAACAACACCCCGCGCACACGAACCAAGGTTGGGAGAAAAGTGAGGAAAGGGGCAAGGGGGCATGGGCGGCCCCCCTCTCTTATGAGCCCTCATCAATGCCTTGAGCATGGGCCCTAGCTGGTTGAGGCGGACAAAGGCGCGGCGTCTTCCACTAGCAGATCCCACTGCATGGTATTTTTGTCAAATCTTCAAAATGCACGTCCACCACTGGCCGCTCAGTCCCATGCCCTGGCGAATCAACAACCTCAGCAATAATTTCCCAAAAGCACCACCTCAATTTCCCCTTCACAATACCTTGAGCATGGGGCCCAGCTGGTTGAGGCGGACGAAAGCGTCTTCCACCAGCAGGTCGCGCCGAACAGACACGTCCACCACTGGCCTCACCATCCCAGCCCCAGGTGCAATACGCAACCCGTTCCTCGCCTTATCCACTTGAATCAACTCGCGGAATATGTGAACTCTGCCAGGGGAAACATGGAGGAACAAGGACGCGGCCGAGGCGTTGAGAGAGGAGAGTGACAGGCGTATGCACGAGACACGCCTCAAGACACGTCCACCAAGGGCCGCAGAGTGCCAGCCCCGGGCGCTATGCCCAACTCGTGCCTCGCCTCGTACGCTCGAATCAACTCCCGGAATATGTACACTCTGACATGGGCGACATGGGGTGAGAAGGAGGCGACGGATGTGTGTGCGGAAACAGAGAGCAATGGGAGCACGTGAGTCCTGCTCTCGCCGCACTCACACGTCCACCACGTCCAGGAGGATGCGTCCGTGAGAGAGACAGGATGATGCGTCAGTGAGAAAGACAGGATGATGCGTCCGTGAGAAAGGCAGGATGATGCGTCGGTGAGAGAGACAGGATGATGCGTCGGTGAGAGAGACAGGATGATGCGTCGGTGAGAGAGACACGAAGATGCGTCGGTGAGAGAGACAGGATGATGCGTCGGTGAGAGAGACAGGATGATGCGTCGGTGAGAGAGACAGGAAGATGCGTCGGTGAGAGAGACAGGATGATGTGTCAGTGAGAAAGGCAGGATGATGCGCCAGTGAGAAAGACAGGATGATGCGTCTGTGAGAGAGATACGTGCAGCACTTGACCCACAAAGCCCTCTCATCCAAATGCGTTTTCAACACAACAGCCACCGCTGATCCACCACCCCCCCCACCCAGCACCATTACCCCCTCACGGGCTTTTTCCGCGTACATCCTCGTGGTCTTTCCCTGCTCCCTGCTGCTACATACCTCTTCTCAAACGGCAGCACGTGAGGCAGCGTCCTCAAAACAGCTGCCATTGCTGACCCACCCTGCTGCTCCTTCCCCTTATCCATACCTCCTCTTCCTCTCCCTCCTCCTCCTCCTCCCCCTCCCGCGCCTCCCCCACCAGTTACGCCTGTGCCTAGTTCCCCCATCCACTCCCCAACCTCCCAGTCCTCCTCCCCTTCCTCCATCTGTACCCCCATTCCCCCTCCCCCCTCTCCCCCTACCCCATGGTGCCTGGCTGCGCCTGCAGGGGGGAGAGAATTGGGGGGAGGAAGAGAATGCGGGGAAGTTGAGTTGACAAAGCGTCAAGAGCGCCGGATCACAGAATGCCCTGCGGGAGATGCGGTCAACGAGTGGGAGGAGGAGACAGCGAGTGGCAGCTTCGAAGAGAGCAATGTGCTCCAGTCTTTGCGGGGCTCCAGTCTTTGGGGCGGCTTCTAGTAGAGCAGTGCACTCCTGGTTTTGACGCAATCCCGTTGCTCCCTCTTACCTGCTGCTGAAATGACAGGAGGCGGGCGGCGATCAGCCGGGGCGAGCCAGAGGGCCGGTTCACAGAAGGCCCTTCTGCAGTCCCGGTCGTGCAGAGGGAGGAGGCAGCGCGTGGCGGCTTCTAGGAGCGCGGATTGCGAGGGAGTGAGAGAGGAGGAGGATGAGGAGGAGGAGGAAGAGGAGGAGGGGGAGGAGATGAGAGTGTTGTAGACGAGGGTGTTGAGTGTGGCGGCAATGACTCGTTGCTCCGAGAGAGAGAAGGGCATCTGAGCGACGGGGAGGGGAAGGAGAAACGAGATGGGTCGATGTGGGAGGGGAAATAAAGCGATGAGAGTGCTGTGGACGAGGGTGCTGAGCGTGGCAGCAATGACTCGCTGCTCCGAGAGAGAGAAGAGGGCATCCGGAGGGTGGGGAAGGGAAGGAGAAGGGAATGAGATGGGGCAATGTGGAGATGAAGGAGAGGAGATGTGGAGATGTGGAGATGTGGAGATGGGCAAGGGGAGTATGTTGTAAACTAGGGTGTTGAATGTGGCTGCGGTGACTCGCAGCTCCGAGAGAGAGAAAGGCATCTGGCAGCGCGTCATCGAAGGAATAAGGGGGGAAAGGAAGGAGTAAGGGAAACAAGGGGCCGATTTTTGAGTGGACTCAAAAAGGGAAACAAGGGGCAAGCAAGCCAAGGGAAGGGGATGATTAGAGGGCATCTGCCCCCAGCTGTCGCTGGTAGAACTCCTCATCGTCCAATGCCAAGAAAAGATGGCATACGCCTGACAGAACACTTCAAAGGCAGTTGTTCGCAGTCCAAGCATCACCCCATTTGCTCTCTCCCTCACCCACCTGTCTCTGGTAGAACCCCCTCCGCATCATCCAACACCAGCAGCAGGTCGGCATACACCCGACAAAACACCGTCATCACCACCGCCACCACATCTGCCGCCACTCCCAGATCACCCCAAGCCCAAACCAACACCCAACAGACACCGCAGCACACCTCCAACGCCCACCAAATCTCACCTGTCGCTGGTAGAACTCCTCATCACCCAACATTAAAAGCAGGTGGGCTTACGCCCTGCAGAACAGAGTCATCACCACCGCCACACCTGCTGCCACTCCCCCCACCCCCTTCCTCATTCCGTGCATTCTCTAGGAAGCACCTCCACACGACACACCCCACATACCCAACAGACGCCTCACCTGACGCTGGTAGAACTCTTCATCGTCCAGCACCAGCAGCAGGTGGGCATACGCCCTGCAGGCCACCGTCACCACCGCCGCCGCCACACCTGCATGGAGCCTCAAAGCCATATCACAGACGCCTCACCTGTCGCTGGTAGAACTCTTCATCGTCCAGCACCAGCAGCAGGTGGGCATACGCCCTGCAGAACACTGTCATCACCACCGCCACGTCTGCCGCCACGCCCGCCGCCCCCTTCCGCATCCCCTCCACGTCCCACCTCTCCCCTCCTCCCACTGCTCCCTCTCCCACTGCCTCCGCTCCCACTCTCTCCTCCCCTTCCCCTTCGCCTTCCCAATCCTCATAATCTTCCTCCATATAGTCACCCGCTGAAGTCTCCCAAAACGTCCTCCCTCCTCCTCCCCCTCCAACCCTTCCTCTCTGCGCCTCTGCCGCTCGTCTCTGGAAGGTGGAGGAGAGAAACGTTGACCACCGCTGGGCCGCCGTTGACCCTGCTTGACCCGACTGGCCAGATTGACCTGTTTGACCCGTTTGACCCGTTTGCCGCCCACCCATCAACGCAGCCAGCACAGAGTCATCATCACTTGCAGTCCCGTGCGGCCCTCCCTGGCCGGCAGACTCTGTCTGCATGCGGTCAACACCTCCTGCTGCTCCTCCTTGTGGGGCCCACTCATCCTCCTCCGCCCTCCTCTCACCGCCCTCCCCTCCTCCCCCATACCCTTCCAAAAACGACCTAGGGAACCAGCTGCCCGAGAACTGGGGCAGCTGAAAAGAACCGGCTACCCCTCCCCCTTGCCTGTGCCTATCCCCTCCCTGACCTTCCTCTCCTCCTGCCCGAACCTCCTCTCGCTCCCGCACCAGCAGCAGCAGAACCAGAACCAGCAGCACCAGCACCAGCAGCAGCAGCAGTGGAAGCGGGAGATGCAGCAGCAGTGGAGGCAGCAGCAGCAGAAGAGGAGGAAAGCTGCGGGTTACCAGCAGACCCCGCCCCCACATAGGCTTGAGAGATAGAGATACGGCAGTGGGCGACTACCCAGTGCCAGAGGCCGGTGAGCACCTGCCGAGTGAAAGCCAGGACGTTGAGGAGAGGGAGGACTCTCCCTGATGACCCACTAACTGAGGAGAAGAGCCCCAGGAGGAGCGAGTAGAGCCGGCCGAAATCACCCATGTCTAGC